CCTCACAAACACAGTCAGAGGTCCTGCTCATCCGACAGAGGTCCTCATCCGACAGAGGTCCTCAGTATGCGTGAGGACCTCTCTCTCGATGTGAGGACGCACCATATTTTGTCGAGCTTGAGGCCGAGCTCATCCTCGCGATGGGGGTGCAATACCTTTTTTTAGGGAGAGGAGCCTCTCGTTCATTTGCGGTTTAGTCGTGAGGACCTCACATGGAGGTCTGTGTGCAGCTGCAGCGGTTAGAATGAGATACGAAGTAAGTGTTGAACTAGAGAAAGCACATGTAATTGTGTGCAGGAGATCCGGCCGGCTTGAGGTAGGTCCTCCTTTTCTGTTCAGCTTTGTGTCCTTCTTCGTTTGGTGGCGGTAGAAGTTAATTTTTCTTTTTCTGTTGACGGTCGTTGCCTCGCCGCCCTCGGTCGCGGCCGCAAGTCGCGTAGGCTTTAACACGATGTTACAACTCGTTAACGTGCAAACGGCGGAGCGCTCGCACAACACAAGAACTTGGCGGTATAACTATAAGGAGCTATGCAGCTGACTCGACTCCAGTAGCTGGGGTGGACGGAGTTCTATGGAGGAGCAAGAGAGAGAGAGGGAGGGAGTCGCGATTGGTACCCCCGCTCGGTCTGAGCGCAAAAGGGCAGCGGATGGAGCAGGATGGTTGGGCCGCTACGCCGTGGGGAGTCGGCGGGAGAGAGGTCCTCACAAACACAGAGGTCCTCATCAGACACGAGGGGTCCTCGTAGACGAGGTCCTCAGTATTCGTGAGGACCTCTCTCGTGTCTTCAACTTGGATGCGAGGATGACCATATTTTGTCGAGCTTGAAGCCGAGGTCATCCTCGCGATGGGGTGCGATACCTTTTTTAGGAGAGAGAGCCTCTCTTCATTCGCGGTTTAGTCGGGGGACCTCTTCTGTGTTTTGAGGTCTGCGCAGCTGCAGCGGTTACAATGAGAAAGGAAACACGAAGTAAGTGCTCGATTAGAGAAATTGCATGAAAAAGAACGATCCGAGATGCTCGGTTTTTGGAAGCCCTTGGGCCTCGCCACAAGTCTCTCTGGCTCTGCGTTCGGCCCCGGGCGTCGCGCCGTGGCAGCGCCAGCAGGTGGGCTCCAGCGCCGCCCCGCGCACGCGCACGCGCGGCGGCGACGCCTCCGCACCACTCCTGCCGCCGCCCGGCCGAGCGAGGAGCGCGAGAACGAAGACAAAAATAATTTTTTTCTGGGGCCCCCCTGCTGGTTGATCGCTTGCCTCTCGCCGGTGCACTCAATGCCGAAGCGCGACCGCGAGCAGAACGATCCGTGGGGTGTTCTCGTGCCTCACAACCCGCTGTGCGGAGCTCCCGTCCCGCTCTGCAGTCCGACGGTAGTCATCGGCCGCGAGGGTGATGTCACTGCGCCGTGCAATCCGCATCTCTCGAGGCAGCACATCCGGCTCGAGCGAGACGCGGCCGGCGCCGTCTACGCCACGCACCTCTCGGCGACGAATCGGACCTACCTCAACGGCCGCCAACTAGCGCGCGACGTTGCGGTCCGTGTTGAGCCAGACCAGGGCAACGCACCGTTTTCTCTTCCCGGTGAGGCGGCGGACGCGCCGCTGCTGTTTGCGTCCTGGCGGAACGCGGAGGAGGCGCGCGCGGCGCTGGCGGACGAGCACGTCCGCGGGTGGTGCGGTTGGACTCTCCGCTTCGACGACAGCGGCCAGGAGACGCGCGGAGGTGGCTCTGCCGCCGCCGCCGCCAAGAAGATGGCATGACGACCCTCTTCCACAACCGACGGCGGCGTCTTCATTTTAAAGGGCTTGCTTGATAATTCATAGGCGTGGCTGGTGCCTCTCCCCGCCGACGGCGGTCGCGCTGCGGCCGCTGCCGAGCCGGCGGGAGGCGCAGAGGCGGAGGCCGAGCCCAAACAGCAGATTGCCAGCCGTGCGCCGCCGCCAGCACAGCCGCCGCCACCGCAGCCGCCGCCGCCGCCGCAGCGGCAGCCGCCGCCACTGCAGACGCAGCCGCCGCCGCCGCCGCCGCCGCTGTCGCGGCTGCAAGTGCTCGTGGTGCGCACAGCGGTGCCGGCGGGGAGGGGAGATGCCGACTGGTACGGCGCACAGAGCGGGCTCTGGGGCTTCCCCAAGGGACACCTCGAGGCGAGAGGAGCAGAGATGCGCCGAGAGGAGGCCGAGATGCGCCGAGATGCGCCGAGATGCGCCGAGTTGCGCCGAGATGAGCCGAGAGGAGGCCGAGATGAGCCGAGAGGCGCCGAGAGGCGCCGAGAGGCGCCGAGAGGCAGCCGAGAGTTGCCGAGAGTTGCCGAGATTTGCCGAAGGGCACATCCATGCGAGGGGGGGCGCGGCGAGCTGGCCAATCTCGGCCAATCTGGGCGCTGATCTCGGCCAATCTCGGCCAGCAGGCGAGCGACGGCAGCGAGCTGGCGGCGGCTGTACGCGAGTTTGCCGAGGAGACGGGGAGTCGGTGTGCCGTGCCCTGAGATCCGCGCCTTCTTGTACGCGTCCGAGTGTTTCGTGTCTTAGGAGACCGGGCTGAGCGTGCCGCCCGCCTCGCTGGAGGGGTGTGTGGACTTGGGCGTCGGCATGTGCAACAGCAGCGGCGCAAAGACACTTCGCGCCTTCGCGGCGGAGGCATGGGAGGGGCTCGCCGAGGCGAGCGGCGGAGGACGCTCTTTAGCGCGCGCGCGGCCGGGTGTGCCGGGGGGGCGTGATCGAGTGGTGAGCGGGAGCCTCTCTTCACAGCTCTGGGGTGTGAACAGGCGAGCCGCAGGAGGTCGACCTGATCGAGTGGTGAGCGGGAGCCTCTCCTCACAGCTCTGGGGTGTGAACAGGCGAGCCGCAGGAGGTCGACCTGATGGAGTGGTGGGGCGGCGGCGAGGGCTGTGGCCCGAGTGAGGTGAACTCGACGGACCGAGGCGTTCGCATCTATGAACCAGGTGGCCGGCGGCGAGGGCGGTGGCGCCTCCGTGGCGGAAGGGCGACGCGGTGCAGCGGTGCTCCGGTGGCGCCAGGCCCCGCATCGGCGTCCGCCCGCCCAAGCCACCCCGCCGCCTTTGACTGACTAATGGAAGGAGTAATCAAACACTGCATCAGGCATCCGCCCGCCCAAGCCAACCCGCCGCCGTTGACAGTCTGCTGACCATTACACACTTCATCAGGCATCCGCCCGCCCAAGCCAACCCGCCGCCGTTGACTGACTAATGGAAGGAGTAATCAAACACTTCATCAGGCATCCACCCGCCCAAGCCAACCCGCCGCCGTTGACAGTCTAATGACCATTAAACATTTCATCAGGCATCCACCCGCCTAAAAGTCGGTTCGTCAAGCTGCTCGCCCGCCGGCTGCTGCAGCAGGGGCGCGCCGCCGCGGACGCGGACGCCGAGGAAGGAGGAGGCGAGTGGTGGCGGATGGAGGAGGGGGCGGCGGCGGCGGTGAGGAGCGGGCGGGGTGCATCTCGCTGCTCGGTCCATCGCTCTCATTGATCGAGCGAGTGCGTAGGCGGAGAGCAGAGGCCGGGAGCATTCTTGCGGGCTGCTCGTGTACCGGTTCGAGCCGGCGGCCGGGGCAGAGCAGCAGCAGCCGCCGCCGCCGCAGCAACCACTGCAGCAGCAGCCGTTGCAGCAGCAGCAGCCGCCGCAGCCGCAGCCGCAACAGCAACAGCCGCAGCTAGGTGGCAGCAGCGGAGGAGGCAGCCGTCTGGCGGCTGCGGCGGAGGAAGCGGCAGGGGAAGCGGCGGAGGCGGAGGGTGCTGCCGCGGCGGCTGTTGCCTCGGAGGCACCGTCGGCGGCGGCCAGGGCCTTAGTGGTGTGCCCCACGGCCGGCGGCGGCGGCGGCGGCCCGGAGGCGCGACACGGCGCCTGCTCCCCAGCGCACCACTTTGACTCTTTGGCACGCATGTTTCTTTTCTCATTCATAGGCGCGACACGGCGCCTGCTCCCCAGCGCACCACGGAGACCCTCTTCACAGCAGTCTCTTGTGTTTCGTTTTCTTAGGGCCTCGCTTCCCCGCCGTCTCAGAGCCGCAGCGGCGGCGCTTTGGTGCCCTGCTACCACGGCTGCGCCGGCGCCTCCTCCGCTAACGACGGCGGCGGTGGTGGCGGTGGCGGCAGGGGTGACGGCGGCGGCTGCGGCGGGGGCTGCGGCGGGGGTTGTGGCGGGGGCGAGGCTTCGTCGGCGAGGGCGGCGCATGCTTTCGTGTGGGACGGCGTGCTGCGGCGCGAGCTGGAGGAGGCGGCAGTCCGCGGCGCTGCTGTGCGGGACAAGGCGCAGCGAGAGTTAGTGGTGGAGTAGCTGACGCAGCTACGAGTGTTGAGGAGGGTTCCTCATGGAGGGTGAATAGGGCATTTAGCCAATAGTTACTTGTCTGTTGACGGTTGCGGGACAAGGCGCAGCTCGCTCGAATCGCCGCCGAGAACGGCCGACTCGTCGAGGCGGTTGGGGAAAAAACACGTGACGCCCTCCACCGAGGAAAAGAAGGCTGTGAACAGGCCGGCTCGTCGAGGCGGGGCGGTACACCGACGCCGCCGGCCAGGAGCACAGCTTGGCGCTGCCGCGAGGCGCCGTCAACCGCGCGATCGCCGCGCCCGCAAGCGCAGGGCGGACTTGCCGCCGCCGCATGATGAAACGGCCCGTGAGGAGGCGCTGTTCACACCTCGAGCTGTGAACAGGCGGCCGCTCCCGCCGCGGCACGGCTCGACGAGAGTGTGCGTGGCTCGCGTGGACACGGCGACGGCGCTGCGGCTGATGACTGCGCGGGTCGGGGCGGGGCGCGTCGCCGCGCTCAACTTTGCGAATGCAGCAGAGGGGCGGAGGGAGGCTGGCTCGTGAGAGAGGGAGTGGGAGTGGCGAGTCGCGCGGTCTCATAGGCGCACCACGCCGGCGGAGGCTACCTGACGGGCGCGCGCGCGCAGGAGGAGGACTTGTGCCGGTACCGAACCTACTTGGTTCATTGTTGATTCGTTCGTTCACCGTTAGTTCGTAGGAGGAGGACTTGTGCCGGCTGATGCCGCGGCTGCACTCGTCGCTGCTGCGGCTGCGATACCCGATGGGGGAGCGTGTCGCCTTCTACACGCAGACGTTGCTCTGCCGCTCTGCCGGATCGTACGCGCTCGAGCACCCGATCTAGAAGCAAGCAGTGTACGTAGTCTTGTAGTCCAGCCCGCGCTCTTGAGGACACGCCCTCTGCTGTGCCCGCTCCCCACCTCTCAGCGGTATTCACTGTATTTGCAGCCCTCGTACTTACGCGGTGCTGTGGAGACTCTGCACAAGACCGTCCTCCCGCCCTCCTGTCGGCGTATGCACCGCGCAGGCGGCCCCCACCCCGCCATATCTCCCCACATCTCCCCACATCACCCCATCTCTCCCCACATCACCCCACCTCTCCCCACCCCTCCCCACCCCTCCCCACACCTCCCCACCTCTCCCCACCTCTCCCCACCTCTCCCCACCTCTCCCTACCTCTCCCCACACCTCCCCACCTCTCCCGCGCAGGCACCCGCCCCTCCTCGTCGACGTCGTCTCTGCGGCGATGCCAAACCTCCGCGGCGGGCGAGGCCGCTCGAGTCTGGTCGCGGGCTCGGAGGCGTGGGAGGCGACGGTGCGCGCGCGGCTGCGGGCCGTGCTGCACGCGGCGAGAGAGCAGAGGAGCGGACGGCCTCGAGCTCGGAGAGGAACTGAGGGGCAGTCTCAATTCAGATTGTAATCAACTAACGTAGGTGCGATGGCCTCGTGCTCGGCGCCTTTGGTTGCGGCGCGTTTGGCAACCCGCCCGACAAGGTGGCGCCGCCCTGCTCTCTGCTGTTGAAAGATCGTAGGGACGCAGTTTGGTCGCAGGGCGCTCGGGTCGCCCCGGAGCGGCTCCGCGCGGGGAGGTGGGTGGAGGGCGGACCGCCATCGGGTAGGCCACCCCTTAGACTCTCTCCCTGACACCTCGCCCCCTCCCCCCCTTCGCCGCGGTGCGCGGTGTGTGAGCGATCTCTCTTTTCACCTCCAGCCGTGAACAAGGTGGCGCCCCTCTTCGCCGCGGCGCTCGCCTCGGGCGAGTTCCGCGGCGCGTTCGCGCAGGTTGCCTTTGCCATCCTCGAGCCGAAGGGGTCGGATGCGGGCAATGTGGCCGCCTTTGAGCGCGCGTGTGGGCCGGGGCAGGGAGGGCTCTGCGCCATCGCCGCGCCTCCGCCCGCCGCGCACTCAGCCGCGGCAGCGGGGCGGGCGGAGAGGCGGGCGCAGCCGCGGGGGGGGGAGCGGACGGGGGCGGGGGTGGGGGGGGCGGAGGCGGAGGCGGAGGCGGAGGCGGAGGCGGAGGCGGAGGAGGCGGAGTGGTGCTCAGAGGAGCCGCGCACGAGGCAGACCATCTTCCGCGGCGTGCGGCTCCTCGTGGCGACGCGGCTGCGCAAGCAGGTGCAGGAGGAGGTGGTGCGGCGCGGCGGCGGGGCGGTGGTGGGCGGAGTGCACGAGGCGATCGCACGCTGCACTCGAGTCGACCCGCCGCCGTTGACCGAAGTAGCTGGAGATGGGTTAATCAACTGATTAGGCGACGCACGTTTCCCTCGAGTCGACCCGCCGCGCTAAGGATCTGGTCTTCCTGGCCACCCTGCCGAAGGACAAGTGGCCGCGGCTCGTCACGCAGGAGCGGGTCCCACACCTCCCCACACCTCCCCATATCTCCCCATATCTCCCCACATCTCCCCATATCTCCCCACATCTCGTCGCGCAGGAGTGGGTCGGGCAGTGCTCCAAGATCCTCTCTGCCGACGGGGCGAGGACGGACGTGCTGCGCAAGCACCACCACCACGACCCGCGTGGCGCCGCCTAAAAGGAAGCCGTGCCGGACCCTTTCTTTGTTCCCTAGGCACCAGCACCCCGACGCCATGGCGCTAGCCCGCGAGCCCGACTCCCCCGCCTCTTCGGCCGGCGGGTCCCAGCCCCAGCCAGGAGGGAGGGGCGGCGGCGGCGGCGGCGGCGGCGGCGGCGGCATCGGCGGCAGGAGGGGGGGCGGGGGCGGAGGAGGAGGTGGTGGAGGAGGAGGAGGCTCGTCGGCCGCAGCTGCGGCTGCCCCACCCGCCGCCGCCGCCGGGGATGGCGCGACCTCCTCCGGTCCTCCTCGCTGGGGCGTCTGCCAGCCCTTTGCCGCCGACGTGGTGGGTGGCGACGCCCTCCTCGGCGGAATGCGCGTGCGCGTCGCCACAGACGCGCACCCGGTCTGGGGGGGCGCGCTGGGCGTGGCCGCCGAGGACGGCGCGGCCGACGGCAGCTTCAAGGCGTTGCGGAGGCCGGCAGCGGCTCTGTGAGTGTGAACGGCGTCTCTTCACACCTGCAGCTGTGAACAGGTGCATCTCGACAGCGGCTCGTGCGTCGTCGTCGCAGCCGCATCGCTCGAGCCCGCAGCCTCGCGCCCCATCCCTCGCCGCGTGCCCGACGCGAAGGTGTGCTCACTGAGAGTCCCCCCAGAGTACCCCAGAGTACCCGAGAGTACCCGAGAGTACCCGAGATCGCCCGAGATGACTCGAGAACCCCCGAGATTACTCGAGATTGCTCGAGGTCGCTAGGAGAGCTCGTGGAAGAACGCGGGCCCGCAGGAGCGCGGCGGCGGAGACGTCTTTGCCGAGGCGGCCAAGGATGCGTGGAGGGGGTACTGGAAGCCGGAGCGGCGGGATATCGACCTGCAGGGGTACGTCGCGATGGAAAAGTACGACGGCATCCGCGCCATGTGGGAGCCAGACATCGGCGGCGAGTGCGGCTTCCGCACCAAGGGCGGCGTGCGCACGTGGAAGTGCAGCAACGCGGAGATGCGAGACGCGCTGCTCGGGTGCGGCTTGCGGCTCGACGGCGAGCTGTGAACGGCGTCTCTTCACACCTGCAGCTGTGAACAGGTGCGGCTTGCGGCTCGACGGCGAGCTGTGGGCGGGGCGAGGGCGGTGAGACGAGGGGGGTGGGCACCCGTGCCGATGGTGTGAACGGCGTCTCTTCACACCTTCCGCTGTGAACAGGTGGGACGAGTGCGGCGCCTTCATGCGGGGCCACTGGGAGAGCATCGCCTTCAAGGTCTTCGACGCGCCCTCTGCCGCCGGCGGGCTGCTGGAGCGGCTCGATGCGGCGCGGCGCGCGCTTGCCGGCTTCCCGACGGCGCGCGTGCAGGCGGGGGCTTTGGAGATCGCCTCGAGATCGCCCCGAGATTGCCGGAGATTGCCCGGAGATGCACCCGGAGACCAGCCGAACATCGCCCGATCACCCGAGGTCGAGATCGTTCGGAGATCGCCCGAGGTCAGCCGGAGATTGCCCGAGATTTTCCGGCGGCGCGCGTGTAGGTGGTCTCGGCGGTGCCGTGCGAGGATGCGGCGGCGGTGGGGAGGCTGCTGACGCGCGCAGAGGCTCTCGGCGGCGAGGGCCTAATCCTGCGGGACTCGAGGCTGGGATTGCCGGCCCATTGCTGCTTGCGGGCGTTTTGTTTTACTGCGCGTGTTTCTTTGTTTAGGCCGAGCTTCCGGCCCGGCAGGCAGGAGGGGCTGCTCAAGGTGAAGCGGTTCTACTCGGGCGTGTGCAAGGTGATCGGACAGGCGCGAGGGCAGATGCCTGAGGCATGGTGCGCGACATCTATGGGACCTTAGTTATTGCTGTCGGTGAGCCCAGGTGCCGGGCAAGGACAGCGTCGTCGTCTCGACCGTCGAATACGGCTCGCTCTTCGACGCCGCTAACCCAGGGGCTGCTGTGAACAGCGTCTCTTCACACACGTCCAGCTGCGAACAGGCTCGCTCTTCGACATCTCGGCCCACAGCCGCAGGCTGCCGACCGGCACCACCCTGACTACGAGTACCCCGTCACACTGTTGCCTCTTGTTCGCCTGCGCAGCTTTCTCTTCTAGGCACCATCCTGACCTACGAGTACCCCGGCCTCAACAACTGCGGGATGCCTCGCTTCGCGGGCAAGATTAAGCGCGTGCACGAGGCGGGCTGCGCCTGCGAGGCGTGCGCGCTGGACAGGCGGGGCGGCTGGCCGGCGTGGGACGGGCTGGCGAGCAAGACGCCCATTGAGTGGTACGCAGCAGAAACGGGAGGCTACGTGTTCACGGGGTGAGGCCGGCCGACAGCGTGCCCGTGGAGTGGGTTATGACGCAACCGATCGTCCACCTAGCTGCCCAGCTCGGGACGCACCGCCCCCGCCAGTGACGCGCAAAGTGACCGTCCATGAACAATGTAAACCACAATTGTGAGCGGCGGCCCAAGTAGAAGTACACACTGACACCAGCGAGGGAGGGCGGGACAATCGAGGGGGCCCGAAGCCCCGAACCAAGCGGATCGACCCTGTCCCAGTGCAACTCAGTGCAACACAGCGTCTTCAAAAAATGATGACCGTCTTCTCAACGAAACAATTCTAAGGCGCCCTGACCCCTGTCAGCTGTCCACAGCAGACTCTCTGCCGCTGAGAGTATGAATTATCTGAGGTACGAAACTGGTGGTATTTCACCATGGATGGATCCACTAGGTGTGAGTCATTTCCTCGCCGCAGGCAGGGACGAGTCTAGGACGAGTGCGCGACGCGGACGAACCGCTCAATGTACCCCCGGGGGTCCGACTGCACGCTTGCTGCACGAAGGCGAAGCCGGCGAGATGGTCAAGCGCTCAGCCTCGACTACCAGTAATCGCAGGGCGCGCTGGCGTGCGCGGCCTGCTTGCTCAAGCAGAACTGTGGCCATTGCAGGGAGTGCCTCGAAAAGGTCGAGTTTGGTGGGAAGGGCCTCCGAAAGAAGATTTGCCGCTCGCGCAAGTGCATGAACATGTCCGTCCAGCCGGCCAACTCGGCGCCGCCGCTCTTGGACCTTGAGCGCGGCGGCCCGAGCGAGCCCTTTCCCGCGCAGCCGCTCCTCGCAGGCCTCCCTGCAGGCTACCCTCTGACGCAGTGCGTCCTCCCGCCGCTCGCGGCAGAGGATGCGCTCCTCGCGCACAAAGTGGCCATCCTCCGGGAGCTCACGAGCGCGCGCGGGGAGCTGCTGGGGAGCGCGCACCCGTGGGCGGCGAGAGCGATTGGTGTGCCGGCGCGTCCTCTCGCACCGCCGCGTCTGCCGAGTGACTGTGCGGCGGAAGGAGGGGATGGAGCGGTGGCGGGAGGGCATGCGGCGCTGTCGTGGCCGATGAAGGTGGTCATCGACGAGATGCGGCGCGCACTCGCTCCCACGCCGGCGCCGCTCGCTCCCGCCCCGGCGCCGCCACCCCCAGAAGGGGCGACGCCCCACTGCGGCAGCCCCTTCGACGATTTGCTTCTCTCTGGCTCCGCGACACCGCCGCTGCTGCAGAAGCGCCCGACTCCGGGGGCAAGCGTGCCGCCGCCCTCCATGCCGCCTTCGCCGCCGGCCATGCGCATCCCACTGCGTCTGGACGTGGCACAGTACAAGCCGGTCCAGCTGTCGCTCGCCCTCGCGGTGATGTTCGCCGCTCGTCTCGCCGAGCTCGACACCACCAACCCCTCCGGCCTGCTCGCTGCCGCGGGCTTTGGATTGCTGGCCCTCGCCAACCTGGCACATGCCTCGCCTCGCTTTCTTGCGCGCGCGATGACCCTGGTTCTCGTGTGCGCCCCGACTCTGCGTCTTGTCAGAGTCCTTGTCCGCTCGCCGGAAGCGATGGCCCGTGACCTCGACAAGCTCGCAGGCATTGGGCGTTGCGTAATCACGATGGCTACAGCGACCGGCGCCGCTTTCGGAGCTCTGCCACCCTCTGCCCTCCCTCCGACCCGCAAGCTACTCGCAGTGGGATACTGCGCTTGCGCGTCGGCATGCGTGAACGTGATCCTTCGTGTCCGCACGGGCGACGAGCGCGCGCCCAACTTTCACCTGCTGCACATCGTCCTCCCCTTCTTCGCGTCCTTCCTCGCGGCCCATGCAGCTTCGCGCAGCAGCTTCGGGCAGAACGTGGCGCGGCAGAACGTGGCGCGGCGGGGCTACTCCACGCGGCTCGCCTGCGATGAATCTAGACAGATGTGGAGCTCCCGCACCTGTTCTGACAGAGACCTCGCCGTTCTGACAGCGTTCTGACAGCGTTCTGACAGCGTTCTGACAGCGTTCTGACAGCGCAAAATCCTCCCCTCTCTTCACAACTCAGGGGCTCTGACATTCCCAGTTGCCCCGCTCCTTCCCTCTTGAAGCCTCCCTCCGAGCCACGGACGGACTCAACACACACAGACAGGCACACTTCTCTGGTACGGCTTTAGGACGGGAACGAGATGTGATAGAGTAGGGGGGAGTAGAAGAAAGCAAAGAGGAGCCCTGCGCACGCACGACTCCGCAGGAGAAAGCCCCTCCCCAGACAAAACACAAGGGAGAGGTGGGTGGGTCACAGAAAACTGCGGCCGCCAGCAACAGAGCGTGTCTCGCTGGCGGACGGCGAGAGGAACACCAAGGGACGTACACGGGCGTCCATTGGCCAGTACAGGTTTCGATCCGGGCCACCGCAAATTTTGATCAGCAAATTTCGAGGGGCGGCCGCAAATTTTGAGGTAGATTTTGATTGTCAAAACATGTCCGTCTTGCCGCAGGATTGAGCATATAGGCGGCGAACACCCACACACGAGGTAAGGTAAGGTAAGGTAAATTTCTCCACACACACAAGTGGTGGGGCAAGGGGGGGCGACCCTCGCATCTCCACACCCGGACACGGGCAGGAGCCCCACGGCATTCAAAGTGCAAGCACTGGCCCGGTGCACGTGGGTGAGCAGCCTGCCCCTCCCTCCCAACAAACCAACTCCCGCACACACACAATCGCACTCTGGCCATCGAATGACTCCGAATGACTCACTGTGTGTGCTAAGACAGAATCTCCGCAGACATCCAAAACGGGCCGTGCCGCGTTTGTGGTGTCCTCTCAAGCACTAGCATCTGGGCGCCGCACTCGAGTGGGCGGGTCACATCTGTCAATGTGGGCCCAGTGCGCACTAGGCGCATATGCTAGTGCTATCCTGCTGTCGAATTTTCCCCAAAGTACACTATCCGGATGGTGTACTTGAGCGTTTGAGGCTAATTCTTTTTTGGCCTTACTTTTAAACTTTGGGGAAAATTCGACAAAGGTCAAAGAGTCGGTTGACCGGAATACATGAAGTACACCATAAGTCCACTCGCAGATTCAATGCCCCGACAGCCCAGGGCACTTCTGGTCGATGAGGTGCTTCCCCTCGCGCTTGGCCAGCGACTCGAGGAGCACCCACCAAGACCTCGTGTCGATGTTGCCCTTTCGAGCGTTCGGGTTTAGCAGCCACGGCTTGTTGATTCCCGCGTAGTGCACGTATCGGTCGGCACTGTGCATGCACCTCTGCTCATCGGCTCCGTAGCCGCGCAGGTCGCGAAAGGTGGAGTGCCCGGTCAGGTTGAATGCCCAGAAGAGCCAGCCTTGGTCGCATGCCGCAGACGACCACAGCCACGACACAATGTGAAACTTTTCGCACCGGTACATCCACAGCGCGGAGGCGTGATCGAAGAAGTCAACGAAAGTGGTGCAGAGCGGCGCGGCGCCCGGCGTGGGCCAGACATGCAGCCCGCGGTTCTCCCACCCTCGCGAGAGCGAGAAGCGCCGGTGGTGCGCGGACGGCCAGAGCGCCTGGTGCTGTGTGGCGTTTGGCCGGATAAGGAACATGTTGCCCCAGAAGCCGACGCCCATCATCTCTCCGACGCCCATCATCTCAAAGGGCGTGTATCTCGCGGGCGGGTAGGGAATCACCTTGTGCCACTGCACATCCCACAGATTGTGGTTTGTGCGGAGCTGAGCTGCTACGCTCCCATTGTAACGGGCTTGCCGGTCGTGCGCTCCCAAAACCTCGTCGCGTCGGTCGATGATGGGTGGTTCTCTTCGTCGCTCATGGGCCGCGCGTAGCGCCGTCAGGAGTGGGATCACGTCGTCACCAGGGTCGTAGTCAACGTCCCTCGTTTGTGTCGCACGGTACTGGACGGAGCCGGTGTTCTGGCGCCAAAATCCGTAGGTTTGGGGCTTGCGGTGGGGAACATGGGGCTTCTCGTCAGACGCAGGTTTGTGCTTGTCGGCCGAGCAGAGCATGAAGAGGGCGCTCAAGAGAACGGCAGCCAATCTCGCCAGCTGCATTGCGCTCGGATACCCTGCACACGTGCTCAACGGGGTGATCGGGCGCGCGTTTGCTCGGACAAAGGACGAACGGTTCCTACTCGCTTAATGTGGGTAAACCATAGTAGCGTGCACGTTCGGTCTAGCAAAGAAGGTTCAATAGAGGGCGTTGTGTAGCCTAGCTCCCGCCTTGACCCAACATAGAGGGCGTTGTGTAGCCTAGCTTTTGGGTAAAAAAAAAAGAAGGTTCACCAACAGAGAAACCCATAAAAGTCCCGGCCGCAGTCCACGACGAGCCAGCCTGCTGCCGGCTCGCACGGCAGCCTTTTCCTCTCGACCAGCCTCAACTTCCGTACAGTCAACATTTTGTCGCTGCGTGCTCGTGGCGAGCTGTGGCGGCGGTCGAAGTTGGCCCAGATTCGACGACGAGCGCCGGACGATAGTAGTGTCTCTGTTCGCCCTGTGCATGTCAGGCCAGGCTGCAGCAGGGCACTACCATCGTGCTGCCCTGCTGCAGCCTGACCTTACCCACTGTGCACAGCCGCCAGAGCACCACCACCGCCCGGCATCGTGTCACGGCGAGCTCCTTCTGCGCCCGCTCGCGAGGCTCTCGCGCTGGCACACTTTGGCCATCTGCTGCTCGCGTTCGGCGAGCTCTTCTCCGCAATCCTGCCACGGTGCCGCCACCACACACCTTCTGGCCGGCCTGCGCCGCGCGGACTCGCCGGCGGGGGCAACGTGTCGACCTCTCTCTCTGGTGCACCACGGGCCGCAACGGCCTGCTAGCAGCGTGCGCGAGGAGGCAGTGTGCCGGCACAGTCGAGCGGGAGCATCGGGTTCTTGATGCTTGTGGGGTCGAGTTTGACCTTATGCGGCCTAATATACAACAATAATGCTATGCTCTCACCCAGCCTTTTGAGATATGATCCCTCAAAGTCGAATTATGGTTTACTGGTGACCATAGAGCATAGTAGCGTCTGTCCTGTTTGCGTTTCTTCAAACGAATACACTTTAAAGTCTCAACAATCACTAAGCTGCTTATGTGGCACCGCAGAGGCTCCCTTGGGGATGCCTGAGGCCACCCCAACCACTCACCAAGCCTTACGTGGACGAATTCAAACCTACTTTTATGGTTTACCCACACTAAGCGAGTACGAGCATCCAGGGACATCGCTTCCAGGGAGCCCCCCCCCAGCCCCCCAGCATGTGGTGGGCACCACCCAGCAGTTCGTGGGCTAGAAGTAGCCGCCAGAGAGCCGATTTCGAAAGGTAACATCGTGGCTGAAAGTCCAATGTCTTGGAGAATCTGACCAGTCTCAAGGCTCAAGTAGCTCCAAAGGAGGAATTTGCTCGAAAAATGCTGCGCACTGAGGTGTAAAATCAAGGGCCCGCTAGGCCTAACCTGTCAGTGGTGATTAAGCGCGAGCCGGCGGTTTTAAAATTCTTTTTATTGACGTATTTGTGGTGTGTGGTTCATTCCTTCATTCAGCGCACTTGCTTACTTAGAACTTACTTGCTTGTGTGTTGTGAGAGAGACTGTTGTGACTTGTGTGTGCCCCTATTTCGACCAGGCAGACCGTTTGATCAGTGACACGATTGCGAGAAGTCAGAAGAATTTTACAACATAAAGAACAAAGCTCCCTCGCACGACACGGGCACGGACTGGCGCGCACTGGCACTAACACAGGTACACTTCATGCGAGAAACCCAGTCAGTATGACCTGAGAAGAATGATGTGGAGATGGGAGAGATGGGAGAGATGGGAGGATTCTCCAAGCATCAACCTGCACATCTCTTCGGACGAGGGGGGCCTCGTTCTTGCGCGCTATGGATATGGCAGCGCCACCCCCGCCGACGATATGGACCACCCACGCTATGGGGGCAGCGCCACCCCGCCGACGATATGGATATGGGGGTTCTTGCGCGCCACCCCACGATCCGATCCACCTGTGACACCCCCGCTCTGCCCAGCACCAAAAGGGTCGGCCGCCTTCAGCATCAAGTGCATCATCCATCGCGCCTGGTCCTGCCCGTGGCGCATGTACGACCGCGAGAAGAGCTGCTTCATTGGCTTTGCGGGGATGGCGCTTGGGTTCAGAGGGGTATTGGGGTAGCCGTGCTCAAGCACGCGCGGATGTGTTGCAACATACGTGATCTGGGTGCTCGCCCCTCCGATGTCGATCCAGCCTGCCGTGTCGTTCGCGCCCGAGGAAAGAGCGTAATTCAACGCCTGCCAGCCTGCGAGGAGAACGGAACGGACGAGGAGAGATGTGTGGGAAGGGCGGTGGGAGGCGTGTGGTGTGAGGTCCATTACAAGGTTAACTGACCGTAGATGCCCTCAGTATCGCCAGGAATCGTCATTGCTTCCTTGAGCCGCATGCCATTGTCGGCCCAAACCGCTTTCACCGCGTCCCAGATTTGCTCGTCCTCGGTGTCATTCTTGAGGCGCATGCCGGCCTACTCGGCAAAAACGTGGCGCGCTAAAGTGTTGGGGGGGTGGGTACGTGGAGAGGGATCACAACGCCAGTGGCCGTTGCGAGCAGGTAGATGGGGACGTCGTAAACGTCAGATCCGGGGAACAACTTCGGGAGCTCGGATTTGAGCTGGGGGATCATGTCTTTGAAGTAGTCCTCATAGCAAGCCTTGAGCGTCCTGTTGCAGGTCGTGGCCTGCGTGGAGATGCCCGGCGTCTTCTTCGACAAGATGGCATCGTCGACATCGATGGCGATCGGCCAGGCGCCCGCTGTCGTGTTGAAGATGGTTGGACGCGAGCCGCTGCTGCCACAGTCAACCACGACGGCCGGGCTGCCAGCGGCGCCGTTGTCGACGCGCCCAGCCATTGCTGCGTCCCGCCATTCGACGCTTGTGTTTTTGACGTAGTCATCGAAGACGACGATCGTTGTTTCGTCGCCGAGCCACGTATCGAGGAGAACGGTGAAGTAGGCAGTTGCCCAGCAGTTCAGAAACGCGTAGCCGGGGGAGGGAGGGACGGGGTCAGTACCGGCCGCTCCAGACTGCATCGCCTTGAAGTCGTCGAGCTCAGCAAGTTCCTCGAAGACTGAGGAGTCGAGCCTGCGGTGGCTGGTCTTGGAGCATTCCTGATGGCCTGTCTTCTCGAGCTCCTCCTTCGCATCCTTCACTGTTCCGGTCCATCCTCCATGCTTGGTGGCGGAGTAGAATGGCTCAAGATACTTCAGGGAGCCGGTGTAGAAGGCGCTTGGACGGGCGGCGTGGTAGCCTCCCGAGATGCCCACCTCACAGGACTGCTGCAAACAAACGAAGCTCAGGTCGACAACCTGACACGGCGTGCGTCATGTGAGGCAGGTCAGACGGCTCCGTGAGAGATGTTAGACCTAAAGGTCGGCGCTTCGACCAACTAGGCCACCTTTTGCGCAAAAGGTGGCCTAGTTGGTCGAAGCGCCGACCTTTGGGTCTAACAAGAGAGACACGTGAGAGAGACAGAAGCCACGCCTGTTTGGCGAGCATCAGGCACTGGCTGAAGTTGCCGGTTGCGACCTCGTCGAATGGGAGATTTTTCGGCGAGCCGTTGTCATATTCGCAGTTTGCGGACGTGTAGCCTTTGTAAATCTGGTTTCCAACCTACGGGGAGTTTGCCGAATGACTTGGCCGGCGTCCGACTCTCATGCTCAGGAGTCGGGACGACGTGCCTTGCAGTCCGGGCTCGGGTCGACCGGCGCGCCGGGCGGATAGCAAGGGTTCGGGATCTTGCTCGTCGGCGGTGGTAGCGTCGAGAACGCGTTGGTGTCGGCGACGAAGAGCAGCAGTAGCCAACGCAGCATGCGGCCAAAGGCGGCTGTCCCCCTCTGTGCCAACGGCATGATTGTCGGCGCTGTCCACGTATTGTTTTCTTTTGGGGGCTTTCCATAGAATTTATAGAGGGTCGCCTGTCTGTGTTGTTGTGCTGTTGTTTGTCTCTTGGCACCTTGCCTGTTTGTCTCTTGGCACTCCGCCCGGGCGGGAGCGGACACATATCGTCGCGAGCTTTCCGCCCCTTTTGCGATGGGCTCCCACGTTTGCTCTGGGGCCCTCTGTAGCATCAGGTGCAATCGAGGGGTCCCGTACCAGGTGGAATCGACCCTATCCGGTGCGCAAGTGCTCAAGAGACAGGTGCAAAGACAAGGGGACGGCCGCAGTCAACACTCGGTAATGCTTCGCCGAGCTCCGAAGGGTGACGGGACCCCCCCAGACGGCCCGCGCTACCAGAACAGAGCGTGCAAGTACTACAAGCTGACGAGCGACAACGATGGGGAGGCCTTCCGCTGGACCAGCAACTACCAGATCATCAGCAAGGTGTACCTGAAGAAGCACTCCACCCTGCCTCTCTGCTATTCTCTCAGTGCGGCAGACAAGAAGATGGTGACGTCCAACATGAAAAAGATGGTGGGAACCGCGGCAGAGTAGAAGGCTAGAGTATGTATGTGTAGTAGAGTCCTGCTGGTCTCCTCTTGATAGTGTCATAAGTGTGGCTGGTGTGTGTCACAGCCTGACAGCACCCCGACAGCACCACCTGACAGCACCTGACAGCAACAGCCCACCGTCTGACAGCAGCAGCAGCCTGACAGCTCTGACAGCTCCGACAGCGTCTGACAGCAACACCCGACAGCTCCGACAGCACCGGACAGCTACAGAACCCCTCGCCTGTCAGACATGCACCCGACAGCACCCGACAGCACTGACAGCACCTGACAGCTGGTCTGACAGAGGCACCTGACAGCTGCCTGACAGCTGCCCGACAGCCCGACAGATCACCTGACAGCACCTGACAGCCTGACAGCCAGGGCTCAGCCCCAGAACGCACTTCTCGTGGCGGGGCCCCTCATTCCCCGTTTCTTTTCCCCCTCTAGAATACGCCTGTGGTGTGCCCCATGTGGCACCCCGACCTGTTGTCTCACCCTGGCCCCCAAGATCGTTTTGGTCGTCACATTGTAATCCCCGACGTCGTCAAATGTCGCCCGCCTGTCCTTCCCCCCGTTCTCGTCTGGTAATCTCATCTTATTATCCCATCGATGCTTGAGGCTGGCTACTGCCACTTCGCTCCACAACCGTCCCGCCACCTACTACGGTTGGCGAATTTCCCCGTCTTATTTCTCTTTTCAAGCCCAAGCTAGCCGCACGCCCCGCGCCTAATTTGCCGTCGTTCGCCCTCCACGATCGGCAAGCAGCCCAGTCGAGTCGGACGCGCGACACATATCATGGCGAAGAAGTCCTCGCGCGAGCGCGACGGAAGGGAGAGGGCCACCGCAAAGCCGGCGCCGCCGAGAAAGGGCCTTGGTGGTCTGGTCGACACGGCAGACACGTATCTTCGGTACAGCAAGGCCAAGGCACGCGAGGCGACGCCAGAGGAGCGCGAGGCGACTGATGTGGCGGGAGGGATCATGCTCATGCTGGTTGCCGTGGGCCCGCTCATCTACTACTACTTCTTTGCCGGCGCCGCCAGTGGCCCGCCACCGCCGCCGTCTGTGTTTAGCAACCTCAACACGTGAGGCGTCGAAGGCGAACAGGCGGGTGGCTCAGAAACTCGCTTGTCCGCTTTGCCGCTCTCTGTATACTCGTATCGCGCCCTCGTATCGCGCCGCCTCGAACTAGCCGGGTATTGGGTCAGAATGGGTCTTCTCGTTCGTTCTGCCACCTTTTTTTTCGCCCTGGGCGCCCGTCTTATGTGATGAGATCATACATTTAGTAGCTAGCGCAACAGGCATGTGCTCAGTACAGCGCCTCCGGACACTCCGCAAAGCCCCCCGTGCCCAGCCACACCCGATGCGTCGATGTGATCACGTCCAAAGTGACGTCCAGCCCGCCGCCGCCATCGGCGCCGCCACCGGCGCCGCCACCGGCGGCATCGGCGGCGGCGTCGGCGGCGGCGGCGCGGCGCAGCGCGGCCTTGCGCTCGCGCGGCGCCTTGCGGCAGAATGGCGTCATCCCGCAGAGCGCCTCGAGCGCGTCTCCGCGGTACCTCCTCTGCAGCTCGAGGCGGGTGTACTTTTCGCCCTGGCCGGCGGAGACCTGAGGGGAAGGGGACGTTGGGCGGAGACCTGAGGGGAGGGGGCGTTGGCCGCACCGTCTCCGCACGCGCACGAGGGCGGCGGGGCACCAGCAACCCCCCCCCCCCCCCGGTCTGAAGACAGGAGCCGCGCATTGAAAGTGCGAGGCCCAGTGCGTGGGAGAGCGGTGTTGTGTGCATGTGTGCGTGTGTGTGCGTGTGTGTGTGTGCGCGCGCACGCGTGTGCGTGCGTGCGTGCGTGCGTGGGTAAAGACTGGCTTTCACCTGCTTGGGCTCCGAGTAGACCGGTGCGCCCGCCAGCGCACGCAGCTCTCGCAGATGGCGCGGACCTGACCCGTCCACCACCTGGCCGTCAGTCCTTCCTCAACGGACGTAGGCGCAGCTCCGATGGCGCGGCACCTGATCCACAGGCACCATCTCGGCATCCACATTCATGAACGGAGCTGGCGCAGCTCCCTCTGATGGCGCGGCGCCTCCGCGCGACACGACGACGGCGCCGCCCGGCCGCAGCACACGGCACATCTCGTCCCACGGCGCCTAATCTCGACCGATCTCGCGTACCGTCTCGCGCAGCTCGAGCGAGCGGCACATCTCGTCCCGCGGCGCCTAATCTCGACCGATCTCGCGTACCGTCTCGCGCAGCTCGAGCGAGCGGCACATCTCGTCCCGCGGCGCCTAGTCATCTCGACACTCCTCCGCCCTCAGCGAGCCAAGTCATGAACCGGTGAGCGACGCCTCTCCCATCCGCGCCGGCGCAAAGGCAGACAGCACCTGTTCGCAGCCATTCGGGTGGAGAGGCGCCGTTCACGCCCTCAGGCTCCGCCGGCGCAGGCCGAGGGCAGCCGCCAGGTCGAAGCAGCCATCGGAGAAGGGAAGGGCGTGCGGCGACGCGACGGCGAAGCGCGCGGAGGGCTGCCGCTTCGCCGCGGCCTTGACCGCCCGCTTGGCGGTGTCCACGCCCCACAATCCAACCGCCGGGCTGCACACGCCGTCGCCGCCGCCGCCGCCGCCGTCGCCGCCGCAGCTGCTGCTGCCGTCGCCGCCGCCGCCGCCCAAATCGCTCCCTCTCTGCCGCAACGCTCTCTCGATGCGGCGGAGGATGAGGCCATCGCCGCAGCCAGCGGCGAGCAGTTCGCACCGTGCGCCCCGCCCCGCGGCGGGCTGCGGGCCGTCGAGGAGCGCTCGCACCACCTCGGCCGCGATTGCGTCGGCGGCCGCGTCAAAGCTGCCGCCGTCGTGGAAAGCTCTGGCGGCTCGCGCGACCTGGTCCGCCTCCTCGGCCACCTTTGAAGAGAGCGGCCGCCGAAGAAGGTGGTGGTGGCCCTCGCGCGCCGCGTCGACCGAGTGCCCATTGCAGCAGCGGAGGGAGCCGGAGGAGGTCGGGAGGAGCGGGTCGCCGCACGATGGGCAGCGGTACGCGACGGGTGCGCGCGCCGCGGACGCCGCCGGAAGCGAGAGCGCTGCGGCGGAGGCGGGCAGGCGAGCGAGGGCAGCGGCCACGAGGGCCATGGCGGTGGCAATGTTGCAGCGAGCGAGAGGCCAGGGTCGAGTGGAAAGAGGCGAAATGCGTTTTCTCTTGTTTTCCAAGCTCGCGAGGCTGTTCTGCGCCGACGAAATTCTTTTTCTCGCGATGTCTGCCCCGCCGCGCCGCCGCTCGCGCCGCCTCGCCACCGCCGCCACCGCAACCCCCTATCCAGACACGCCGCCGCCCGCCCGCCTCCTCGACCTCCCCACGGAGCTCCTCGAGCGCGTCCTCTCTCGCTGCGACCCCGCCGACATCGCTCGCGTCGCGGCCGTCTCGCTGCTCTTCCACGCCTCGCTTGCGGTGGAGGCCATCCGCTTGTGGGCGCAAGAGCGCGGCTACGAGCTGCCGGCGCTGCCAGAGGGCGAGGGCTGCGCCGTGCGGTGGCTGTGCTATTCGGCGCTGCTGTGCGAGTCCAACCCGCCGGTGAGGGCGGCGGCAGGCAGACAAACTCACAGCCTCTTCATCGACGGCGAGGGGCGGCTCTCGTCGTGCGGCAAGGCTAACAGCTGGCAGCCGGGACTACTCGGGCACGGCGAGGGTGTGACGCGGCTCAACACGCCGACCCGCCTCCCTTCGACGCTGGGCGTTGAGCGCGCTGTGAGTGTGTCGGCTGGAACATGGCACAACCTCGCCCTCGCCGCCAACGGCGCTGTCTGGAGCTGGGGCGAGGGAGGCCAGTTGGGCCACGGCGACGCGCTGACCGAGTGGCTGCCCAAGAAGATCGAGGCCTTGGCTGGCCAGCGCGTCTTCGCTGTGTCGGCTGGAGGCAGCCACAGCCTCGCCCTCACCGCCGCTGGCGCTGTCTGGAGCTGGGGCGACGGAGACGAAGGCCAGTTGGGCCACGGCGACCAGTACAGCCAGCTGCTGCCCAAGGAGGTCGAGGCCTTGGCTGGCAGGCGCGTCGTCGCTGTGTCGGCAGGAGACAACCACAGCCTCGCCCTCACCGTCGCTGGCGCTGTCTGGAGCTGGGGCGACGGAGACGAAGGCCAGTTGGGCCACGGCGACCAGTACAGCCAGCTGCTGCCCAAGGAGGTCGAGGCCTTGGCTGGCAGGCGCGTCGTCGCTGTGTCGGCAGGAGCATCCCACAGCGTCGCCGTCACCGCCGACGGTGCCGTCTGGAGCTGGGGCAATGGAGGCCAGGGCCGGTTAGGCCACGGCGACGAGCAAAACCAGCTGCTGCCGAAGAAGATCGAGGCCTTGGCGGGGCGGCGCGTGATCGCTGTGTCGGCTGGGTGGCAGCACAGTCTGGCAATCACCGCTGACGGAGCCATCTGGAGCTGGGGCGGGGGAGGTTTCGCCCAGCTGGGCCACGGCAACGAGCAGCGCCAGCTGCTGCCAAAGAAGATCGAGGCCTTGGCTGGCCAGCGCGTCAACTCCGTGTCGGCTGGAACATGGCACAGCCTTGCCCGCACCACGGATGGCGCTGTCTTTGCCTGGGGCAAGGGCGAGCACGGCTGCCTAGGCCACGGAGAGGACCTGTCGAACCAGCTACTGCCCAAGAAGATCGAGGCGTGGTCGCGGGATTGAGGTCACGGCGGGAGCTTGGGCGGGGCGGCGGCGAGAGGGCGACCCGAGGCGTGCAGCTCGCGTGAAGATCTGGTAAGTGCCTATGTTGTGCGATAGAGAGTTGGTTCTTTTGCGGCGACAAGGAGCCCATCCATTTTCTTATTAACAACGAAGGCGCTCAAAAAAAAGAAGGATGCCTAGACAAAACCAAAGTGTGAACAACCTCTCACAGACCAGCGCACAGCGCCAGTGGACGTATTTTCTTCTCACTAGCAGGTTGGCTCGCTAGTCGCTCGCCGGCCCGCGCAGCACGCGCGGACCTTTTTTGTGGTCGGATGTTGGTCGTCTCGAATTTGATCGTGGGCAGGGCGCGATGCGAGCCACCAGCTCGTGAGCGACGGGCGCGACGGGTTCCTCGGCGTAGGCTTGGGCGTGGTGAGCAGCGCCGGCGAGAGAGGGACGGCATGCGGCTCCCAAACGAGCCGCACGGGCTTCATCTGGGCCGCCGAGGCCACCTCCTTGGTCGCGGTGGCGGCGTGAAGGCGAGGTGGGCCGAGGCAAGCGCTGAACGTGCCATGCCGCCTTGCGCCCCTGAGGAGGGACGAGTGTGTGGGGTGCCACGGGCGGGGGGGAGGGGTGAGAGGAGAGCGGTGGGCACCCCCACGAGGGGCTGCGCGGACGCCGCCTGCCACCCCACGCACGCCACTGACGCTGTGGGGGCGGCACGATCGAACGCGCTGGTCGGGCGGGCCGTCTGAGTCGCCCAAGCGGTGCTCTGCCGGCCGGTGGACGCGAGGGTGGCCCAAGAGGGCTCAAAGTACGGAGCCGATACCCGGCCGTCCCGGACGCCTGGCACGCGGGCCAATGGTCCAGCCGTCCTGTGCATGGCTGGAGCGAAGGAGGGAGAGCTCAGGAGGGCGACGGGGCAGGGAAGGGGGCGATGCGATGCGGCGAGGTCTAATCGGCGGCGTGGAGAGAGGAGGTGCCAAAAGGCGACTATAGAGAGGCCTCTACGGGTGATATAGTGCGCCATGCCGGCGGGAGAGGTCTCTCACCGCCCCCCGGGCCGTCTCGAAGGGCCGTGCAGCCCACGCCACGAGGCGCTGCTGGCGGGAGCCTGGAAGGACTTGGCCTCGTTGCACCGCGCCGCGTTGATTCGCGACCACCGTCGGCCGCGGACGGCGTCGGCGTGGCGGCCGCGGGCGCTCGCGAGACGCGCCGCTCTGCGCTGGTTCGGTTCGTTCGACTCGTTGTGCCGCCGCACGCCCGGCGGCCGCGGGTCCCAGAAGTGGTTGCGCGGGCCTCTTCCTTTCGGCCGCGGGACGGCGTCGGGCACGTCGTCGGTCGCAACAGCGGCGCGGCGAGCCGCGGCACGTCGTTGCTGGCGCTGGTGGTTTGAGGTCGGCATCGTCCAGAGCTCGGTCGACGAGTCGAGAGCTTCAGCTGGCCGAGGGTGCCACCTTTGTGCTCTTTGTGCACGAAATTGGAAATATATCTCTTTGATAACAAGGCTGTGAACGCGCAGAGCCAAGTTAGTTAGCCGCCGCCACGGCGCGTCCACAGCCGACCGCCGCTTTCTTCCTGTCCCCAGCCTCCCCCAATGGCAGCTCCCGTCGCCGCCGACGGCGACGTGACCGCTCCCGGCGCCCGCGTCTGGGTGCCAATCAGCGAGACGCCCGCCGGAGCGCCGCCAGAGGACGACGACGAGGCGCTTCCTTTCACGCTCGGCGTCGTGCAGCGCCGCCGGCCAGAGGACGCCGCTCCTCCGTCGCCGGACATGGTGCTGGTCAGCCTGGTGGAGGGCGGCGACGTGGGCGCCAAGCCTGTCTGGGTCAAGCCCGCCGCCCTCGTGCCGGCCAACCCCGAGACGCTCGACGGCGTGGATGACGTCGGCGCGCTGTCTCACCTCAACGAGCCTTCGCTGCTGCGGGTGGTGATGGCGCGGTACGCGGCGCGCTCGATCTACACGCGCGCCGGGCCCGTCCTCGTCGCGATCAACCCCTTCACCAAGGTCGCTGGCCTCTATGACGCCGCGACGATGCGCTCGTACCAGTCCGCCGCCGCCGCGGCCGCCGCTGCCGCAGAGCGGGACGGGCCTGCTCTGCCGCCGCACCTGTACCAGGTGGCGGGCGCGGCGTACTACGACATGGCGGCGCGCGGCCGCTCCCAGTCGGTCGTGATCAACGGCGAGTCTGGCGCTGGGAAGACGGAGAGCGCCAAGATCATCCTGTCCTTCTTCATCTCTGCCGCGTCCGCGGCGGGCAAGGGTGGCGGAGGAGGCACGACCAAGGTGGGCGAGGTGCTGCAGGCGGAGCTCGACGCGTCCAACGTGCTGCTCGAGGCGTTCGGGAACGCAAAGACCACGCGCAACCACAACTCGTCCCGCTTCGGCAAGCTGCTGCAGCTTCGCTTCTCTCCGACGGGCGCCCTGACCGGCGGGTCGATCTCTCGCTTCCTTCTCGAAAAGTCGCGCGTCGTCTCGCCCGAGGCGGACGAGCGGTCGTACCACGCGCCGTACCAGCTCGCCTCCTGCTGCCGCGCAAGGGCAGGCACGCCCGCCGCAGACCTCGCCGTGCGGCTGGGGCTGCGCGGCGCGGGCACGTACCGCTATCTGAGTGCCGGAGGCTGCCTCCTCGTCGACGGCGTGGACGATGCGGCGGAGTTCGAGGCGACCAACGCCGCGCTGACCGCCATTTACGACGGCGGCGGCGGCGACGCGGCCGCGGGCTCCGCCGAGGCGGTGTGGGCGGTGGTGGCTGCGGTGCTCACTCTTGGCGACATCGAGTTCCGCGAGCCGGCGGAGGAGGAGGTGTGAACGGCGTCTCTTCACACCTGCTGCTGTGAACAGGCGACATCGAGTTCCGCGAGCCCGCGGAGGAGGAGGGCAAGGGCGGAGGCGTGGCGGGAGGCCGCGCCGCCGCCGCTCCGCCGCTCGCCGGCGCCCCCGCAGGGCCGCCTGGCTCGCTCGAGATCGACGGGGAGGGGGCGGTGGCGGCGCTACGGCTTGCGGCGAGGCTGCTGGGCTGCGGCGACGCGGAGCTGCTGACGGCGCTCAACTCGAGGACCATCTCGGCCGGCGGCGAGGAGATGGTCATCTGCAAGAAGCTGCCCGAGGCGCGCGCCTCGCGCGACGCTCTCGCCAAGGCGCTGTACGAGCGCCTCTTCGACCACATCATCTTTGCCCTCAACCGCTCTCTCGCCGCCGTCGGGCAGGGAAGTGGCCGCGGGGCGGCGGCGGCCTCCTCGGCAGGGATCGGCATCCTCGACATCTTTGGCTCGGAGATCTTCGCCACCAACGGCTTCGAGCAGCTGCTGATCAACTACGCGAACGAGAAGCTGCAGGCGCACTTCACTGCGGCGGCCATCACCGTCCAGGACACGTCCACGACGTGTCCGAGACATGTCCTGCAGGCGCACTTCACTGCGGCGGCAATCACGCTGCTGCAGGCAGAGTACCTGCGCGAGGGGCTCGCGGTGGACCGGGTCGAGTACACCGACAACGCGGCCACCATCGCGCTGCTCGAAGGCAAGCCCCTCTCCGTGCTCGCCGTCCTCGATGACCAGTGTCTGCAGGCGGGCGCGACCGACGCGTCGCTGACGGCCGCGCTGCACTCTTCCTTCGACGGGCATGCGTCATACGGCACGCCGCGCATCGCCTCCTCGGAACCTTCTCGGAGCCCTCTCGGACTGGTCTCTGAGCCGTCTCGGGCCCCTTTCGCAGGCACGCCCCGCATCGGCGCCGACCGCGCCTTCACGATTGGCCACTTCGGAGGCCGCGTCACGTACTCGGTGGCCGGCTTCCTCTCCAAGAACAAGGACGCACTCTTCGCGGAGCTACCGTCGACCATGCGCGCCTCGGCCTCGCCCTTTGTAGCGCAGCTCTTCTCCGAGGCGGCGGAGCAGCGGCGGCAGCAGGCCCCTTCGGGCGACGGCGGCGCGGCGGCGGCCGGCAAGCCCACCGCCACGAACGTGAACGAGGGGCCCGCACGTAGAGTGAGCCACTCGCGCCGCGCCTGCGGCGGGGGGGGCGGCGGGATCGGTGGCGGCGGCAAGAAGCAGGCGACGCAGTTCGTGTCGGTGGGGTCTCAGTTCCGCGGGTCCATTGCCTCGCTCGTCGGCACGCTCGGCGCCACGCAGAGCCACTTTGTGAGGTGCATCAAGCCCAACGAAGTGCGGGGCCCGTTCGTGCTCTGGCCCGCGGTGGCGCTAGCGCAGCTCCGCTGCTGTGCGGTGCTCGAGGCGGTGCGGGTCTCGCAGGCCGGCTTCCCCACCCGCATCCCCTTCGACGACTCGTCGGTCGGCGACGAGGAGCAGCTGGACGAGATGCGGGCGGAGCGGGACGAGGCGATCCAGGAGCGGGACGACTTCGAGGAGGAGAACTACGAGCTCCAGGAGAAGTGCGGCGAGTACGAGGAGGAGCTCGACTTGCTCGAGGAGGAGAACGCCGAGCTGCGCGACGCGCTCGCCGTCTGCCAGCGCGACCTCTCGCAGGCCAAGGAGGAGCAGCTCGCGCTCTTCCTCGAGGTGACATATTTGTGCCCTCCTCCCTGCCCACTGCAGCTACCGAGCCCGGACTCACAAGTAGCCCCCCCCCCCCCCCCCCTTCCGCCTCGAGGTCAACGAGCTGCGCGCGCGCGTCGCCGAGCGGGACCGCGAGATGAACCAGCTGCTGATCGTCAACTCGGACATGATGATGAAGCTGGCCGACGAGGGCTTCGCCTCGCCGCGCGACAGCAAGCCGTCGCTCAAGCCCGCCGCCGTGGTGCGAGGCGCCGGCTCGACCTTTGGCCAGTGACAGAGGCTGGCCGCCGGGCGGAGTCCCGAGGGGGGGCACGAAGGAACGGCTGGGCGCCCGTGTACGCTGGGAGGTTTCTCCCCTGGCGCCCTGCCCGTTGTCTTGACACATTTGGCGTCGTGCTTCGTTTCGAGTCGCGGTCTCGTGTCGGTGTCCCGCATGGACCACGGTGGTTGGTGAGAGCTTTTGGCGATGCCGCCGACCACCCAATCGAGACGGCAGCCGCGCTCAAAGGCGAGCGCGCGATCTCCCTCCTGCATTACGACAAGGTCGGTTGATCTTTTTTGGCACGTCGCCTAAACGCTTAAGCCGTAATGGCGCGCGTAGCTACGGCTCTATGACAGGGACCGCGGCCGCGGAACCGGCGGACGGGGCTGGCGCGCAAGCGGCAAGCGCCGGCCACCGTCGTGCTGCCGGGGAGGCGCAGCGGACCCTGGAATCGCTCCGATCGCGCGCAACTGGAGGACGCAGTGAGTGTCGCAAAGTTGTTCGGTGCGTCTTGTGTCAGGGTGATAAAGCCTGGCTACGCGACCATCGAGGTCGACCTGAAGCACGAGAAGGCTCCGCGGGCGACCGCGAGTCGGTGTGCAGGCGGCGGAGCGCTCGTACATCGAGCGAACCGCGCCGAAGAAAAAGGAGCTCACCAAGGAGCAACTTGCGGCAAAGGCCGCGGCTCGCAGGGCCAAGAACGCCATGTTCGTGATGGAGGGCCTGGAGGCTGCGACGCAGGCGGCGCGCAACCCCACAGGGTCCAACATTCAGGTCGCCTACGGCTTTACTCGCTGCAAGGCGCGCCCGACGCAGCCCGTGAATTGCGCGCCATACGGCTCTAGGAGCGACCTCCATGGGGGCCCAATTGTGAACTGACATTTGATACGCAAATTTGATACTCGTCGGACATTTGATTTTTCGGTTTGCGCCCCCTCGAGCCGGGTTTGAGCTTGGGGTTACCGGTTCACACCCGGCCACAACAAAGGAGTAGGCATATCTGGCAAGCGCGCAGTAGGGCGTGTGACTGTGTAGAGAGAGCAGCAAAAGTGGCGAGAGCTGGACACTGCGAGTGGAGCGTGGAGGGTGGAGCGTCCAGTGGAGGGGCGATGGGGCGTGGAGTCTGGGGAAGCCGCTAATAAGTACGATCCCAAATCTGCTGATGCTCATCAGCTTCTCCGTGAGACAAACCCGGCCCTAGGCGTGGCCGGGGCCTACTCGTCGCCACCTGCTGCCGAGCATGGCGTCGAGCGGCATGCCTGCAGATGGCGGAAGAAAGCCCTCCGCGAGGGGAAGGCCTCGTGACAGATGGCGCAGGAGCGGCGCCGCCGCCAGCCTCGCCAGCCGCTTCCATGGCGCCGCCCAGCCGCGACGCGATGGCGGGGTGGCCGTATATGCCCGCGAGGTCGCGCGCGGTCAAAGGGCGGGAGCTGTCTGTGCGCAGCAGCAGATGCCTCTCGTGCGGGTCGGCCTCCACCAGCGCCTCCACGCAGCCGGCATGGCCGTGCGCAGCGGCCAGCATCAGAGGTGTGATGAACCCCAAATTCCCACGACGTTCCCATGGTGTAAGAAGCCGATCCCCGTAGTCCGCCCAGTTCCTCCCCATCGGGCCGCATGAGCGGCCACGCCTCGCAGATTTGTTTTCGCGCCTGGGTCAGGCGCGCGGGGCATCCCCCGGGTCGCTCGACCAGCGATCCGAAGAGTGGCCGCTATGCGAAGGAAAGAGTGGGGCCCTCGACGCCTCAGTCCGGCCCTCCGAGGGGGGGAAGGGAATTGCGGGGTCCCCACGGGCGCCTCTCTTCGGCCCAGGCCAAACGTGGCGTGGCGGGCTTTGCGCAGACGGAGGAGCAACTGCGGCAGGCGGAGCAGCTCAAGGCGGAGGTTGACAGCGCCAAGGGCAAGACGCTCGAGGAGATCTCGCAGGTGGTTGAGGAGATCAACAGGCAGATCAAGGACAACAAGACGCGCCTCGCGCCGCAGATCAAGTCGTTGCGCACGCTGCGCGCACAGCACGGCGAGATCGAGGTGCGAGAACGCCCCGAGGGGAGTTGTTTGAAGGCGGCGGTCCCCACGTCCCAGCCCTGGCTAGGCGGAGTATCTCGAGAAGAAGGGCGTGTACGACAACATCAAGGCGAGGTTGGACAACCCCCCCAGAGTGGCGAAGCGCCCTTTCACCTGTGAGGATGGGGATAGGCGGGCTTCGATAGCGAGCTCACCAAGCTGCAGGCGGGCTTCGGGCGGGGAGGAGGGATGAGGGAGCGTCCCCTCACCAAATCATCTGTAAACAGGCGGACCTCGACTCGGCTGAGAAGGAGGCGCAGCAGGAGGAGTCGTCCTGCCACTACTACGACACCCTCTCGGCGGGATTGCGTGCCGCGCAGAAAATCGCTTGTAATGCAGTTTTGTGTTCGACACCCGATCCTTTGCGGGTAGGCGATGGAGCGAGTGAAGCTGCAGCGGATAGCGGACGAGAAGGAGGGGCGCGCCCTCCGGCGCGCGATGCCCGACGGCGCCGTCGTCACGACGTACCGCGAGCTGTACGAGCGGCGGATCAAGGAGCAGGAGGCACAGCAGCGGGAGCTGCGCGAGCGGCAAAAGGTGCGGGATGGGGACGGAGCCGCGGCGTGCGTGGCGTCTCTTCATGGCGCGGGCCTCTGTGATATAGGCGCTCAAGGAAAACCACGTACCCAACAAGGAGCAGATGCAGCTCTTCCGGGACCTGAACAAGCTGCTGCGCTGCAAGGTGGACCTGCAAAAGGCGGCGCGCGCCGAGGCGGCCGACATGGCGGCGGCGGAGCAGCAGGAGTCGAACGTGCTGTCGTTGGGCAATGACTGAGGAGGAGACGAGGATCTAAGTTTTAGTAGCTAGAGTGTGACAGCTTACAAAAAAAAACTGTGCTGCCCGCCCCGGTGACTCTACAAAGAACCCTGCACAAAGATCGCAAGGGCGGGGACCTGTTCCTTTTTACCCATCTCACAGTAGAGAGGTGTCCGTTTTTATTTATTTATTTATTTGACTCTGCAACGGAAACTCACCCTCGTGCCACAGGCACAACCGTGACCTCATTCCTGCGCCCACGCCTCGATCTTTTTGGGCAGCAGCTGGTTTGACAGGTCCTCTCCGTAGCCTAGGCAGCCGTGCTCGCCCTTGCCCCAGGCAAAGACAGCGCCATCCGTGGTGCGGGCAAGGCTGTGCCATGTTCCAGCCGACACGGAGACGACGCGCTGGCCAGCCAAGGCCTCGATCTTCTTTGGCTGCCACTGGTCCTCCTCGTCGCCATGGCCCAGCTGGCCATACGCTCCCAAGCCCCAGCTCCAGACGGCGCCGTCGGCGGTGATTGCGAGGCTGCGGTTGCCTCCAGCCGACACAGCGACGACGCGCTGGCCAGACAACGCCTCGATCTTCTTTGGCTGCAGCTGCTGCTGAAAGTCGCCGTGGCCCAGCTTGCCAAAGCCTCCCCAGCCCCAGCTCCAGACGGCGCCGTCGGCGGTGATGACGAGGCTGTGGTTGCCTCCCGCCGACACGGCGACGGCGCGCTGACCAGCCAAGGCCTCGACCTTCTTGGGCAGCAGCTGGTTCTGCTGGTCGCCGTGGCCCAGCTTGCCAAAGGCTCCCCAGCCCCAGCTCCAGACGCTGCCGTTGGCGGTGAGGGCCAGGCTGTGGAAGTATCCCGCCGACAAAGCAATGACGCGCTGGCCAGCAAAGGCCTCAACCTTTTTTGGCTGCCACTGGGCCTGCTGGTCGCCGTGGCCCAGCCGGCCATAGGCTCCATGGCCCCAGCTCCAAACGGCTCCGTCGGCGGTGAGGGCGAGGCTATGGTCGCGTCCAGCCGACACAGCGATGACGCGCTGGTCAGCCAAGGCCTCGATCTTCTTGGGCTGCAGCTGGTTCTGCTGGTCGCCGTGGCCCAACTGGCCGTAGCCTCCAATGCCCCAGCTCCAGACAGTGCTGTCGGCGAAGAGGGCGAGGCTGTGGGTGTCTCTAGCCGACACGCTCACGGCGCGCTCACCCAGCATCGACGGCAGGCGGGTCGGCGTGTTGAGCCGCAGCACGCCCTCACCGTGGCCGAGTACCGATGGGTCGAAGGTCGGCGCGGAGCCGCACGACGAGAGCCGCCCCTCGCCGTCAATGAAAACGCTGTGCCAATGGCTTGCCGCCGCTCTCGCCGGCGCGTTGGACTCGCGAAACGCCGCAAAGCACACCCACCGCACGGCGCAGCTCTCACCCTCTGGCTGCGCCGGCAGCTCGAAGCCGCGCACTTGCGCCCACAAGCGGATGCCCTCCACCGCAAGCGAGGCGTGGAAGAGATGCGAGACGGCTGCGACACGGGCGATGTCGAGGGGGCTGTCGCAGCGAGAGAGGACGCGCTCGAGGAGCTCCGAGGGCAGGTCGAGGAGACGGGCGGGCGGCGGTGTGTGAGGCGAGGCGGTGGCGCCGGCGGAGGCGAGGCGGCGCGAGCGCGGCGCGGCGGGGTGGACATCGCGAGAAAAAGAATTCAGAGTTCCGCGGTGTTTCGAAACAGATCTGTTTCCGTTTTGTTCTCACGGTTGGCCAACCTCGCGTTAAAAATAATTTACCCCAACAAAAGAAATGTGCCGGCACATCGCGCGAAAAAGAATAAGAAATCTCCCAGAAAAAGCCGGAGTGGCGGGGTCGGAGCTGCTGCAACGGTGCGAGTGGCCGCGAGGGGTGGTGCTGGGGCTCTCCAGAGAACGAGGCCACGGCGCGGCGCTCACGGCGGCGGGCGGGGCAGCTCCAATTGTTGGCGAGGCTCAACAGCAGCTTCAAGCAGTGCAGCGCAACGCCAGCTACCTCTCCAGAGCTGCGCGGCGGCTGGCGGGCCTGTGTGAAGATGCCGGGCCGCGTGCTCGGAGCGCGCAGTCGGCCCGCCTGCCAGCGGCCGAGTCAGTCTGGCTGGCGATAAGCGCCAAGGCCTTCCCTGCATTCTGGGCGACGCCCAACTGTGCGCAATGCGATTGCTGCGCCGGTGGGCGGCCTCGATGCGGAGCGCCGCGCGCGGGGCGGGAGGCTTCAGTGGCGCGGTCGTTGGTCAACGCCGCGGCGCGCGCGCACCGCGGGCGCTGCTCAACTATCGAGAGGCATGGGCGGGCGATTTGTCGCTCTCCGGCGCCCAACTTTGCTATCGATTACCGCCGGTTACTATAACGGTGGGAGATCGCTTCTGCAGACGGAGGGATTCAACGCGGCGATAACTGCCCGAGACGTCCCTAACCTTTATTTATCTCTGCCCTGCTTCAGGAACCGGGGGCCGTCTTCCTCAACCAACCAAACCTCATTACCGACTGCCGGTCGTTTGGGACACGTGACTCCCGCAAAGGGCAGTGTCTCCACCCGGGAGTCGGACATTCCAAACCCCCCCCTGCCCCCTCTCTCTCCCCCCCCCCATCCTAGCCCTCTCTCTCTCTCCTCCTCTTTCTTTCTCTCCTTCTCCCTCATTCCCCCCCCCTCCCCCCTCTCCATCTCTGCCGCCCCCGTGCCAACCCCCGCCGCCGCCTCGCCTGCCTCCGCCCCCTCCGCCACCCCATCTCTCGCTCCCCCCCCCGCCGCCGTTACCTCCCCCACCCCCTCCCTCGCCGTTGCCGCCGCTACCTCATCCGTGGCCGCCGACACCAAGCCCCCCGCCTCCTCCGCCGCCTCCCTCTCCACAGCCGTCGTCGCCACCTTCACCATCACCCTCGCCCCCCTCTCCTCCACCTCCTTCGTTGCCGCCGCCTCTGCAACCCCCTCCCTGGCCGCCTCCACCAAGACCGCCAACCCATCTGCCCTCTCCTCCGCCTTCCTCTCCGCCGCCACCGTCCCCGCCGTCCCCTCCGTACCCGCCTCCCCCTCGGCCGCCACCGCCATCGCCATCGCCATCGCCGGTTCCGCCGCCCCTGACACCGGCCGCGCTACCGCCGTCGCACCGGCCACTGCCCTCCCCGCCACCACCATCCCCGCCACCGCCATCTCCGCCCCCACCAAGTCCCCCGCCCTTACCTCCACCTCCCCCTCCGCCATCACCAACTCCGTTGCCGTCCCCACCGCCCCCGCCCGATGCGCCATCACCCCCTTCGCCTCTTCCACCGCCGTTGCCGCCCCCCTCTCCTCCGCCCTACCTACCTCCCCCGCCCCCGGACCCCTCCCTACCGCCGCGGTCCCCCCTACCACCTCCACCGCCGCCGCCCTCCCCTTGGCCGCCCCCTCCATCACCATCTCCTCCTTCGCCGCCCTCTCCGCCTCCACCAAGCCTTCCGCCCTCACCTTCGCCTCCCCCCCCGCCACCACCATCTCCGCCACCGCCCTCCCCGCCGCCGGCCCCCCTACCGCCATCCTCTCCGGCTTCCCCGTCGCCTCCGCCGCCCCCTCCTCCCCCGCCAAGCCCCCCCCCCTCCCCCCCACCTTCCTCTCCGCCGCCACCGTCTCCTCTACCGACGTCACCGCTGCCGTCCCCTCAATCACCCCCTCCACCGCCACCCTCTCCTCAGCCGCCCTCTCCTCCGCCACCAGGCCCTCTCCCCTCGCCTCCACCTTCCTCTCCGCCGCCACCATCTCTGCCGCCGCCCCGGCTGCCATCTCCTTCCCCGTCGCCATCCTCTCCCCCCTCCCCGTTGCCGCCGTCGCCCCCCCCCCTCCCATCGAGCCCTCCTCCCTCGCCTCCGCCTCCTCCTCCATCGCCGCCGCCCCCCCGCCGATTCCACCGCCACCGCCCTCTCCTCTGCCGTCCCCCCCACCGCCCCCCCCTCCTTCGCCGGGCTCTCCTCCGTATTCCCGTATCACGTATCACTAACTCCGAGTAGAGGGGGCGTCCTTGCAGTTAAGGGGAAACCTGGTACGCGGGGCCAACCCTCGGAGAGTATTCTTTAGCTCCGAGTAGAGGGGGTGCGGTCTGCTGCTAGGGGGGCCCAAGGAAGCGCGAGGGAAAAATTCCGCCGCTGAGGGAAACCCGGAGCGCTGCCGTACGCCCTCCGAGACCCGTGTTATGGCCCTGCGACCGCGCGCCCCCCCACGGTCGAGGAAGAGGGCAGCGTCCTGCAGTTAAGGGGAAACCCGGTACGCGGGGCTAACCCTCGGAGACGTGTTATGGCCCTGCGACCGCGCACCCCCCCCCTTACTTAGCTCTTAGGGGTCAGGGCTCTCTAGCCCGTAGCCCGATGCCGAGCGTCCGGCCAACTGGGTGCGCTTCTCAGCTCCCCGGTCCTGGGCGTGAGGTTAATGACCGCACTCCAAGTGCTCCAAGTGCTCCCCGGCTGCTTTCTTTTAGAGAGAGATTTTTAGCAATACCAAACAAATCTAACACTCACACGTCATTTGGGGCCTGGAGCCCTGTTCACGCGCGCGCGAGACGTGCAGCGACAGGGTTGCCAGGTGGAGAGCGAATGCTTGGCGGATGGCGCGGTTCACGCCTGTGTTTGTTCTTTTATGCACATACGAGAAGGCTACGGGACCGGCCCCCGCTTCGGCTGAGGGCTGACAAGCTGCCGAGCCCAAATCACTGTGAGAGTCGTGATTTCTTGTGGTTTTCTAAAATCTGACTCTCTCTCACATACGCCAGTCCGCACGCATTCGGCAATCGCCCAACCTTGATAAGGTCAGGGCAGCTATGCCCCCCCCCCCCCCCTCGCCCCTTGCTTCAAAACAGGAGGGGCGACGCCCCCGCGGCGCGGCGAGGAGGCTTGCGCGCGCTCCACGCGCCGGGCGAGAGGCCGCCCCCGCCCCCGCCCGAGGCCGACTCGCCTGCGCCGCCTGCCGCGCGCTCCTCCTCCTCCGCCTCCGCCTGCGCCAGCTCGGCCAGCTGCCTCGCCTCTCGGCCACGCGCCGCAGCGCACGCAGGCAACCATTCTGCCATCGAGTCGGCCGCGCGACACAGCCGCACGAGGCAGCCTTGCGCCGCATCCAGCCGCGGGCTGCCCGCCGCCGAAGCAGACTCGACGGCATAACCGCTCAGCGAGCCGAGCGCACGCCGCGCGAGCCCGGCGAGGCCCTCCTCCCCCTCCGCCTCCCCGAGCGCCGCCGCCAGCCGGTCCAGCGCGGCCGCCTGCGCACCCAGCGCCTCGTCCCGCGCGGCGAGCCGCCGCCGCACGAGCCCAGCCCGCCGATCGGCGGCGTCGGCGCGCGCGCGCTGCGCCTCGACGTCTCGCGCGAGCGCGGGTAAGGACACGTCGCGCAGCTGCGCGATCGAGTCTCGCGCCGTGTCGAGGGAGGAAGAGAGCTGCGCACTCCGCCGCTGCTCTGCTGCGAGCGCCGCCTCGAGTGCGGACAGCTTGCCGGGCAGCGGTCCCAGCTGCGCTCCGAGGGAGCAGGCCTGCGAGCACCACGCCTGCGCCGCCCGGTGCGCCTCTTCAAGATGCGAGTCGGCGAGCTCGAGCTCCGACGCCAGTGCCGCCCTCGCAACGCGACCCTCCGCGGCGGCCTCCTCCCCCTCCGCAACCGCGGCCTGCAGCGGCCGCCGCTCCGCCACCGCCCGGTCTGCTCTCTCCGCCGCCTCCGCCTCTGCCCGCGCCGCCTCGGCCGCCTCTGCGGCGCGGGCCGCCGCTGCCGTCTCCGCCACCGCCGCATCGGCTCTCGCCGCCTTCTCCTGTGCCCGGCACCGCTCCAGCTCGCGCCGCACTGACTCCAACTCGCTCCTCGCCGTCTCGAGCTGAGAGCGCAGCGTCGGCATGCCGGTCGGCTTGGGCTGGGCGGCGTAGCGCGACGGGACGCTCACGGCGCGCTGGTGCGCACCGTTGGACGAGACGGCACCGAGTGGGGCGCGGGTCATGACGGCCACAGGGGCGCTTCAACCGGCTGAGAAAAAAAATTCGACAAGGGCTCGAGAGAGAGAGAGAGACGCCTGAACCAGGTGTCAAATCTGCCGATGCGTGACCTGTGCGTGGGCTGCTCTGTGGGGGGTCCAGGCATTGTCCGACGGGTAGGGGGTCTGTGCCCGGGCGGTGTCCGGTGCGGAGTCTCTCTCTGATCCCGCCTGTGGTGTTGGGTGCGAGGTCGTGGAAGCTTCGATCCCAAGGGGGGGAGCTGATCCCACTCGGTAACCAACTCTCAGGGGCAGTAGGTGGGCGGGCTTCAAGCGCGCTCATCTCGAACGACAAGGCGTCGCTACGCGCGGTCTTCCGCGGGGGGAGCTTCGTCGACGGGTGCGGGAGCGCAGCGCAGACAGTGCTGCGGCGATGCCTCCGGCTGTTTGCGGCGGGCGGCTTGCTGCTCGCGGCGATGGCGAAAAACTCGTCTCGTGGCACACCAAGGGCTTATGCTCTGTCGAGACGTGAGGCGCATGCGCCCAGGAGGGGAGGGCGCATGTGTAACGACGCTGCTAGAGATGCCTTTCGGGGCCCAGAGATAAAACTTCTGGATGCCATGCGTGACCTAGTAGTGTCCCCAGCTATGGGCGTGTCCACGTTGGAGCCAGGTGTGGTGTGGACGCGAGAATAGCTCCGCCGTTCATGGAGGCAACCGATGCGAGTCGACTGGTGTGTGTCGTCGTGGTTTCGTATCAAGAATTCTCTCTCTCGACAAGGGCTCACAGCAAAAAAAGAATTTTTAGTCCCAGCAGACGAAAAAAAGAATTTTACCACCACGCGAGGTGATCGCTGGCTCGGAATCGCTGCGCGCGTGTCTTCCAGAGGGCGGTGAACGGCGCGCGAGGGTGATCGCAAGGTAAGCCGCGCACTCGCCGACGCTCGGGACGCCGAGGCCGGTCGGCTGCTGTTGGACGCCCTCTTTTCGGCGCGATGGCGTCCTCACACAACCGCATCCTCTCGCGCAGTATTGAAGTGCGACCAGTTTATGAGCAGTTTTCAAAATACACAGACAAAGTGGTTGGGCAAGGGGGGAGGGGGGGGGGGGGGGGCGACCCTCGCATCTGGGGCCACGCCCCCGCGGCCCGGACACGGGCAGGAGCCCCAGCCAGCCTCCATGGCGGCATTCATGGATTCAAAGTGCCAGGCCCAGTGCACGACGTGCACCCCACTGTCCGTCCGTGGTCTGACAGAGGTATCTCACACCTCACAGCGCCCGACAGCCTGACAGATCACCTGACGAATGACAGCCTGACAGCCAGTGCTCAGCGTCGGGCAGTTTTGCACTCTCGTCAAAACATCCCTGGGTGGACGGTTCTTTTCCGTTTTCGCGGTAAATTCGCGCCGGGGCGCGCGGAGCAGGCGGACATCGCTTCCAGGGAGGGGGGCGCGTTTTTGCTCACGCCCCACCCCCCCCCCTAGCATGTGGTGAAGGTGCTGGGAGGGCCGGGACCCCCCCCCTAGCATGTGGTGAAGCCTCTGGGGGGGGCGGGACCCCCCCCCCCTTAGCATGTGGTGAAGCCTCTGGGGGGGGTCGGACCCCCCCCCTAGCATGTGGTGTGAGCAGAAGCGCGCCCCCCTCCCTGGAAGCGATGTCCGCCTGCTCCGGAGCCGTACTTTAGGGCCGGGGCGGGATATATTGGAATTTACGCGTTTGTGGTTGTTTTGTTGGGAAAACAAGAGAGGTGTGAAGAAAAGAGACCCAATTCCATGCACACGCGCACTACGAGCCGGCCTCCACAACTAGTTCAACGCCTCCGACATCTTCGGGCATGGTTGCTCCGATTCTGCGTGCAATGTCACGTCCCCGTTCATCACTAACCGTTGCGCAGCAACGGTTGAGGACCGCCACGACAGCGCCCCCGATGGGAACGCCCAACACAAGCCGCGACACAAGAAACGCGAACAGGATTAACCGCAGGCCCATATCGATTGGGATGCAGATTGCAGCGGCGATGGCATCTGGGCATGATGAGGGCAGTACACGCAGGCAACACGCAAACGGAGAAGAAGGAAGAAATTGCAGCCAGAACGGTAGGTCCCACTGTCGACGCATTGATCGTCCCTCCAAGGTCTCTGTGCAGATGACCGAAATGCCGTATTGTTGGTCATCGTGGTAGCGGCAAGCTTCAATCTTGCGGATGGGACCTGGAGTTGCGACGGCCTCATTGCAGATCCACGTGCAAATGAACGGCCCGTTCTTCTTCCCCCCGATCCACTCGCCCTCCAATGTCCAATTGGTGTCGTTTCGCACGAACACTCCACGACCATGCATCAAGTCCTCGACCCACTCGCCCTCATATGTCCATTTGTTGTCGTTTCGCACGAACACTCCACGACCATGCTTCTTGCCGGCGACGAACCCGCCCTCGTACCGGCCCTCTGCGCTGCGGAGGATGCCGTGGCCCTCGCGGTTGCCTGAAGAGTTGTACTCGCCCCTGTACTGCGCTGCGCCGCCCTCGCCGGAGAGGTAGATCGCTGCCGTAATTTTGTCGATGTAAGTCTCGAGCATCTTGACGACAATAGCCCGGTCGGCCCTGCCTGTGAAGGCGGCCGTGGTGAGAGCGAGTCGCATGCGCTCGACCCTTTCTTTGACGGTCTCGTTGAGCTCTAGCTGTACCGGAACGGGTCGGTCGCCATCAATCTCCAGGAGCTTTGGCGGCAGCTTCATTGAGCGCAGGTGCGATTTCAATCGGGGGTGCGCCTCGATGCGGATGAGCGCCTCCATGCTTACAAACGATTCGAAGACACACCAGCCGCGGTCGGTGTACGCACGCTCATTGTACCACAGACAAGCGCCATTTGCGCCCTCGGGCAGCTCCTGGAGCTCATCCACCGCCTCCGCCGCCTGTTCATGCGACGCGAACCGCGCGTGCCAGCGCCCTGTTTGGCGCGGAGTCTCGTCCCCCGGGGGTGCGCGGTCAAGCTCAAACCAGAGCTCAGTGAGGGTGCGACCCCACCCGATGAGCGCAGCGCGAATGCGCTGCTCAGCGAGCGAGGCGTCGACGCCGAAGAGGACGACCCGTCCCGTCATCGCTTCTGGGAGCGGAGGAATGAGCTTGCGGCGGAGCACGGTGACGCCGAGTGGACTGGCGTAGCCATCCGCCATCACCTCGAGCCCTTGCTTGAACTCAGCATTTTGATCCGGCGTACGTGGGCCCTGCCACAGGCAAGGGCAGTCCCAGAAGACGGCAGTGATGTGCGCGCCCTCCTCGCTCCGGAGCGCGCTGACCACCGCCTGAAGCGTCTTGTCGTCGGGGTCGGGGTGGTCGCTGGTGCGCCAACCATAGGTGAGAAACCCGATCTGCCGCCGTCTCGCCTTTAGCATTCGCACAGCCTCTTCAGGTTGCACAAAGAGGTGCTCCCCCGCTGTTTCTAGTGCGTCGAAATCCTGCCGCCGCTCAATGCGTTCGAGTGCCCCGCTGCGCAAAACCTCCGCATCGAGCAACCGGATTGCACCTGAAGCGAGCTTTTCTGCCAGACGATCGTCAAGTGACGCGAGGTGGCGGAGTTTGAGCCGATTAAGACAAGCACAGCAAGCTATGGGTATGAGTAAAAAGATTAGAAAGAGCACGATAAGGAGGATGTATCCGCCAGTCCACTCGGAGTCGATCCCATCAATGACCACCGTGTTAATGATCGCCGTCAGCAGAGGTATCGCCAAATACCACACGAGGAGGGAGATGACGCACAGCGCATACGCACAGGACCGTCGCTGCCGACGTAGCTTGAGTAGTGTGTCGTGCCAATGAAACAGCCATCCAAGTTGAATAGCAAGCACGAGCGTGCATCCCCATTGCATCGCAAGAATGCTCGGGTGCGTCTCCTTGGGCTCACGTTTGCGAGCTTCTTCGGTCCTGCGATTCTGTACAAAGTACACCAGAATGAACGTCAGCGAGGCAACCGCAATCACAAGGGAGAAGTGCTTCTCCGGAGCAGTACTGCTGTGCGGTGAATCGAAATCGTGGGCGAGCATCTGTCGTCGTCGCCGTGCATACGCACAGAGGGCGCGCACACCGCAGCTAAGTGCTGCAGCACCGATCAGAGCACCGATCCAGACCAGCCAAGCTGCAGGCGGCCCGGCGCTGTTTGGCTCCGTGCATGTGCTGTTGGGCGGAGCACGTTGGGCACACTCAGCGCTGAGATCCTCTCCCAGTTCCCAGTCGTCACCATTGAGGTATTCCCAATTTGCTACGTATTCCGGGCACGACCTGTCAAGACTGTCCTTCTGCCTGATGAGGGACGAGCGGCCACAAAGCTCCTTCGAAACGCGCCAGCCGGGTTGCGTACTCTCATTCTGATAGAACAGGTACTCCGAGTAGTGCTGGTAGGCTGCTCGTCCTCCACATTCTGTCCCAATCATCTTGTATGCCCCGAGTCTGTCTCGTAGACCGTTGCCCTGCGATGATTTCATGGACAGAAGGTCGGAACTCAGCACGACCGCGCCACAGCACGATTGCGCTGTCGGTTCTGGCGTCGCGTTCTGCATAAGCAGGCTGCAGCTTCCCGAGCATTCGAACTCATAGTCAGCGCCACACGCGGAGCACGCCGACGCAAAGCGCCAACCGCAGTTCTTTGGTCCGGTCTTCTCGGTGGCAACCCAGAGCGCGATGAAGGTTGCGACGACAACCAGCTGGAGGTCGATGTGAAGCTGCTCGCGTCGGAAGAAGCGCAACATGCTTTGCTGGAGGCAGATAAACGAGCAAGGATGTCCGGTTGTTCTCCGGCCAAAGGCAAAAAAAGATATTTTTCTTCTTTTGAGAGCGCCTTCTATACACACGCACACGCCGCTCCGCACCGCCCGCCCGCCCGCCGCCGCCCCGCCCAGGCGGGAAAGAGATGAGGAGATGGGACAGCTGGTGACGCAACTCAAGTCAAGGAGGGGAAAGGGAGGGAGGGAATACTATTCACAGCGTGTGTGAGTGAGTATTCTTGATACGAAACCACGACGACACACACCAGTCGACTCGCATCGGTTGCCTCCATGAACGGCGGAGCTATTCTCGCGTCCACACCACACCTGGCTCCAACATGGACACGCCCATAGCTGGGGACACTACTAGGTCACGCATGGCATCAGAAGTTTTATCTCTGGGCCCCGAAAGGCATCTCTAGCAGCGTCGTTACGCATGCGCCCTCCCCTCCTGGGTGCATACGCCTCACGTCTCGACAGAGCGTAAGCCCTTGGCGTGTGACGAGACGAGTTCTTCGCCATCGCAGCGAGCAGCATGGCACTGAGGGTACCTCTGAGCGGGCTCCTAGGCGGCCCTCCTTGGAGGGGTCAGAGGGTGTGTAAATGGTGCTCTTAGCAACAGGATCCACTCCCACCACTAAGACTCGTACCCTACCACGAGGGGTCAAAGGGGCGGGGTCCTGAAGAGCAGGCCTTGGGCTCTCAGAGGGCCAGAGGGTGCCCTCTGAGGGGCCTCCGGCGGACCCCCCTTGGCACAGAGGGTACCCTCTGAGGGCTGCCGCCGGCAGCCCTCCTTGGCACAGAGACCCCCCCCTCTGTAAGAGATCCCCTCTGGGGGACCCCCCCTGGGGGTCAAGGAAGCTGACCCGCCCCCCCCGAGCTCGACGGACGCGTCTGAGACACCGGCGAGCGCAAGCAACAAGCGCAGCACAGAGATGACAGGATCCCGCAACTCGCGCCGTGGGGTCCGGCAAGGAAGAGCTCGGGTTCATCGAAACCACTTCAAGGAAGAGCTTCGACCATCAGGGTGGCAATCAAGTAGTTGCCGCGCCTTTGACGATCACTGTCGACGAGTCGGCTACTTCATCGGAGACGAGAAAAGTGCAGCGAATAACGATGAAGCTTCATTCGATGATGACCAACTCGATGAGATCGCAACATTGAGGCTGCGCGATCTTAGTGATGTGTCGTCCATGCCCACTGTGGCTGACGTCGTGGCAGCTCCGGTGGACGATGCTGCGTCATGTAGCGAGTGGTCGGTTGTCACGTCCACCGAATCATCCTGGGTCCTCGGCTGGGAACTGGATGAGTCGGTCCATGAGCCTTGGCCAGACTGCACGGCGAGCGACGGTATGATCGCGATGATGCTCCAGCAAGAGCAGCGCGAGGAGCTGGTCCCAAACGTCGCTGCTCCGGGGGTGTGATGACCTTCCAAATGAGCAGCAGCAGCAGGCGGTGATCGCTGCGCTTGCCAGCCAAGACGAGCGTGGGCGTGGCAGAACGGCTCGGCGTGTGTGTCGTATGTTCCGAGAGCATGGCGACACAATGATGGAGCCCTGCGGACACCTTGCACTCTGCGTCGCTTGCAACAAGAACGGAAACCGCAATCGCGGCGATGCCACCTGCGTCCTTTGCCGCACGCCCGGTCGCGCCCTGCACTTCCCCAGCAGCAGATGGTCGGATGCGTCGCGAGTGAGCGAACCGTTCTTTTTTGGCGTGCTTGCCTGTGTTGGTGCGTGGGTGACGGGCGTCTGCTTTGGTGTTGTCTGTTTTGATCTCTGAGAAGGCGTTCAATCTGTGTGCGTGCTGTGTCTCGCGAGACGTGCAGACGGCACGTTTCGAGGTGAATATGTGGTGCTGTGATGCAAAAAACGAGATAATATCGACCCCGTCGCGCCCCCCTCACTGCGAGAAGGGACGGAGAGGCGCGCGCCGCCCGCGCGCGGCTGCTGGCGCACTCGCGTGGCGTGGGCTCCCGCACCATGCCGCATGCG